GCCCGTACCCTCTCGGGGAGGCGTGCATTGTGTCAGGCGTCGTACTTGTAAATTTCGGCCACGCGGCTTATATCCCTCGATTTGCAAGACGTCGGGGAGAAAATTGAATCCGGCTTGAAGGAGAAACAAACGGCTGGAAGAGCCGGCGGTTGATTTAATATGGCCGTCCGTCAAGGCGCGTACGCGTCACGCTTGGTTCACGTAAGACGGATCTCTGCTTCTCTCTCTCTCTCTCTCCTCTCCCTCTTTCTTCCTTGCTCCTTCTTCCCACCCCAAAATCTGTCTAGTCGCGTGGCACGATGCGGGCGTTACCCACGTCGTACCTTTCAAAGATCTTATCTCTGTCCGCTGACGTTCCTTCGCTCGGTTTGCTAAGCTGAACTAACCATTTCGACGGAAAAAAATCCGCGAAGGCTGACTCGGTCGGTCGAATGAGAATTGGATTAATTACGGCGTGACTGCAATGCGAAATGCACACCGTGGCATAAGTTAGGCTTATAAGCTCAGGCCCCGAAAAATTATTTTTACGAGAGATGGATGCGCGAGATAGGAGATCATTTTATTCGTCGATTTGGGGTCGGACCGCCTTCGCAACCGACTCTTGGGTGCCGATCATGGACCCTTTCTCTCGTGCAAATTCATGGAAAGTGAACATTGTTTAATTTCAAATTTTCATTATCAACCTTTGAATATTTAAAAAAATTCTTCATCGCGCGACCGTTATTTTTCACCGTGGAATACAGAGGGTTGGAGTAACGATCGCGTAACTTTTTCTCGGAAGCGAAGATGGAAGGAATAAAAAGTTCCATATTTCCATAACGTTGGAAAACGTACGTGATCGCCAAAATCGTCTCGGATTCACGTGGAATTTTTCACTTCTCACATTCCCGCCCCTAAGGAGAAACTACACGATCGCCATTCGGGCGTGAACTCGCGAAGAGGAAGAACTTTCCAATGCCTTCAAGTCGGAAAATGTTCACCTTTTCGCGAATTCACGCCGCGGTAAAAGATTCACGATCGATCCGCGAAGAGTGACGTCACGCTGCGAGTCTCGGTCAGCGAGCTGCGAAACGGCGCATTACACGTGTAATTGTCCGACTTCCGCGGCGCGAGAGCGGCTGCGAAAACAGAGATAAATCACCGGTTTCGTTAGCGGGCTCTTCCTGAATCCATTTGTCCGGTACCCGTGTCCGGGCAGATCCCGCTGCGATCGACGAGACGACGGTGTCATGTTCGCGCGGATGACCTCCTCCGCGGAGGAGAGCGGAGAACACGCGGTGGCCGCAACAGCGGCCTGTGCATCTGCACGCCTCATTGAACATTCCGCGCGCGAAACATTGCTCACAGCCGGCCCCGAGGCCAGGGTGCGTATAAACGCGCCGTCGACAATGATATTTACGAGTCCAATTCGGAAAACCGGCGGAGCGAGTGATCGTCGAGCGCGTTCGTCGTCGATCGATCGTACGCACGGGGCGCGCCTGATGAGGCTGTTCGAGCGCGACACGTGCTTATCCTTTAATTAAATTTATCGCTTTCGCGGAATCGCGCACATTGTACATTGTACACGAGCGCGCGTGGGATACGGCTCGCTGTAAATCTCGAAAGCCCCGTCCGTTGCGCCTCGCCGATGCACGGGCATTGCTCGGACCTTATAGCGCATTGTTTGCAAATAATATCCCGATGCGAATTAAACTCGCCGACAGCGGACTGCGGTAAACTCGGTATCAGATTGCGCTCGTCGTAAAGTGAAACAATCGGCCCTCTCGCAGCGTTCCCCCGAGAGCATTTCACCCGCATGCCCGACAAATTGTCAATATTTCAATGACCCAGATGACGTCAGAGCCGCGTCCCTCGCGCGTTGTTATTTCCGCGGATCCCCGCGCGGTCGGCGCCTTTGACGCGTGGGCCGCGCAGATCGAATCGGATCTCATCACGTCCCACCGTTGTAATCACGACTGATCCGCTCGCGCGTCTGATTATAATTTATGCCTCTCGCATTCAGAGGCGCGTCGTGTCGCTTCCGTCGTCCGCGGGATCCTGCGGCTCCTTTCCAGCGGCGCGACTAGATTACACGGGTAACGTACTGCCTCGCCGCAATTTGTGCCTCCCGTCAAACACGGCTGGAGGAAACGAGCCGCGCCTCTTACGCGCGCCACGCGAGAGAGCGAGAGGGCGATCAGTCGCGGACATGTGGTGCGTTCTCGAGGAAGAGGAACGGCGACTCGTTTTGAATTGCTATTGCCAACCGCTCCGACACCGCCGTCTCATCGTTTTTAATATGCGGCCGCGCTGTTGTTACGTCTGATTGAAGCCGGTGCGCGCCCACCTAACGAAAGATATTTTATCCCTAATAAAATCTGTCGCCGAGGGTAGCGAGACTCTCACCGGCGGAAGCCGAGTACAAACGGACTTAATTTCCCGGCGCTACTCTGCCCGCTCTCGCAATCATCGTCGCTCTTTGCTCGCTCGCTCGCGACTCTGATTATAATTTATTCGTATCCTACCGCCGAGTCTCCTCGTTTCCCCTCTCTCTCTCTCTCTCTCCTCCCGAGCTGTCAGCGGAATCGCTTTTGTCCCCCGAGGCGCACACCACGCCGGGGATTACACCGCGCCGATATACACCGCGACCACAATTTCTCTCTACGTAACCAAATATAGCAACAACCACGCCAGTCGAGACATCACTTTCAGTTTTCGGTCTCGATAAAGCCCTCTTCTCTTCTCCTCTTTCTCTCAACACTCTGTGCATCTCTTCGAAAGAGATTCCACGCGGAACTCGTAGCCAAAAATTGCTCTCTCCGCAACCAAATATAGCAAGAACGATGCCAATCGAGACGTCACTTTCAGTTTTCACTCTGAATACACGGAGCAAAGGTCGCTTTTCTTCTCTTTCTCTCCACTCCGTGTGCTTTCTCAAAAGGGATTCAAGAGGGCGATTTTTGTCCAAATTTCGTTCTCTACGCAAGCAAATATACATCGAGGCCAGCCGAGATATCATTATCAGTTTTCGCTCCTAGTCTACGCTTCTTTTCTCTCTCCCCCTCTCTCCTCACTCGGTGCACCTCTTGAAAAGGGGTTGATCGTTGCCAAAAATCAGATCGGCTGGATGCGCCCAGCCCGCCCTCCGCTCGTCCACGCGCACACGTACGCGCCACACGCACGTGAATGTTTCGTCGACACGCCGCGGGCATGTTTTCTCAGCTGGTGCCCCTAACTCTCGGCGATCCCCCGCGCCAGCCTCCCATCGTTGTTCCCCGCGTCACCCCCGCGAGCAGATCTCGGGAGATCCTTTCAGGACACGGTCGGCTACCCACAAAGGATCAGGCCTTTCATACGCACGTTATTATACTCTTTACACAATATCGTTCCAGCCCCCCACCATCGCCGGGTAGAGCAGGCTCGGGGGGCCGGGGAAGAAATACGCGTTGCCATGCGCCTTGGTACTGTATACCTATACCTACGCCCACGCATTGTAAACCGGGGCCATAGACAGTGAGATACGTCGGCCGAGCCGACGAAAGCCCCGAGATTTTCTCGTTTAATTTGTTGTTATAGCTGCTTGAGACGCGGATCGGGCCATTCGTCCGTCCGCGGGATGCCCCTCAAACATTCATTATATTTTCTTTCTCCTTCTTCCTTTCTTTCCTTTTCTCCGTAACACGTACGCGTGTACGACCGTCGCTCGCTCGCGAGGTTCGCGCGCGTGGGGTTGCGCCGACGACGGCCCGTCTCCGCGCTCTCTCGGCAAGAAGGTCTATATTTGTTCCGCATCCCGAGCGGTCTCTATTAATCGAGAGCGGATCGCAACAGCAGGTGCACCAGATCTCGCCGAATCCCGCCGATATTTTCGCTTTCCTCGCCTATTAGATCCTATCGCGTCGAATCTTACGACATTCCGCGCTCGTTGTATAACTAATAACGGACGGCCGCGGGATCGATACATCACGAGGACGTTGAGTAACACGCGGATATTACCGGCCGGGTCGTTCGCGTTTGATCACAGTAATAAGATTTATGGCGATCTCGCGCACGGCCGGTCGAACGATCGATTGAATCCGACCGGCGGACGATCGTATCGCGGACGCGCGGTACTGATGCGATTAGGATGCGGCATTATCGCGCTCCATTAGCGATTGTTTGCGCAGGAAACGAACGAGTCAATTGCCGTCGTTCGGTGAATCGTGAAAGCTGCGCGAGCGAGCGTGAGCGCAACCTCCGTCCGTCTTCTCGAAAACTTGCCGAAGCGTTTCCTCCTCCGGAACGCGAAGGGGGGAGAATCTTTTCCGTCTGATTGGCCGCGTTTTTGCCTGCACCGGGATGCACTTTTGGTTTCTCCTTACCTCAGGGACAGCGGCCCTTGACGCGACTCGAACGATTGCGGCGGTTGTATTTATCGCGACGGATTATCTCCGAGAGAGAGAAGCTCGACAATACGTGTGACTCGTGACCGGCGTTGTTAAATACACAAATTACACAGACGGCGACTCCCGTGAAAGGAGAGGATTAGAGTACCCGTAATAAGAATAAGGCCACCGTCGCTGTGGCCGCCATGTTTGAGTTCGAACCGGAAGTTCACAGCCATAATACCTGAAATGTTCAGATACTATTAAAATAGGTGCAAAGCGAAATAAATCGATAATTAAGCATAATATGAAACACACATGCACGCACACTCACTTTTCTTTTGACACATTTCGTAGACTTCGTAGATGGCAGATCTTTCTGTTGTCACTCAGCTGATAGTTTTGTAGTTGTTGTTCAGCAAGAAACATAAGTCGACGCAAGTCTAGTTATATCATCACTTGTTGTTATTATGTGCTTGTTTCACATTTGGTAAGAAAAAGGATAATAGATGATATAACTACACTTGCGTCGCCTTTGGCCTCTTGCTGGGAAGCAACCCTTGACACATCCCGACCGGAAGCTGATCCAAACATAGCGGAGCCAATCGGAAATCAGATACAGTGGGCATATTCTTATTATAGATACTCTGGAGGGAATCAAAATTGTCCGAGGCGATCTGTGAACGTGTTGAGGAACGCCCATCTCGCTTCCCTAGATGGAAATACTGGTCCCATACACTCCAGCAACAGTGGATTTCTTTCTTTTATGGTCGTGTGAAATTCTTCCTCGGTTATTCCACCGTCGCGATCCACGTCGATCTTCCTCATCATTAAATCAATTAAATCCTATAACGCGATCGTTCATCAATATTATTTCTACGTCAAGTTCGCGCGTCTTGTTTCCTTAAAATCCGAATTTTTACATCATTCAAATGTTTACTTCACCTTCACGCCTTCATCGGGATCCTCGTCTGTCTGTAGTTTGATTAGACAACCTCGCATTGACGGGAATATATGTTCCTTCTTCAATTTGTGGGCGTGCATAAAATCGTAGACCTGCTTCTCGCAAAAGGGATTAATTGACGGCTATTTCTAACGATTATTTTTAATTAAGTTTGAACTTTTTCTATCTTCCGGATGATTTGAACTTTGGAGACAAGTTGAAAGAAGATGAAGACATCCAAAAGAACAGAATAATTAGCCAAATTAGTCACGGAAGCCTGAAAATTACGGTATATGTGAGATGTATCCTCTCATCCAAAGTGCCACGAAGAATTATGGATAGTCCTTCGACCCACTGCTCCAGATTAATCTGCATACCCATATTGTCGCAGTTAATTATTACGGAAATGATAGTTGTCAGAAAAATCGCACTAATCGCTTATACCTGCAGGACATTCTTCTTGTCTAACGCGGAGAAAAGTCTGTCGATGAATAAGTGTCGGATGTTTTCGGTGTAATCGAAAGCAGAATGAAAAATGTCTCTAAATACCGCTCTCGTTATAGGACCCAAGGTTTGCGTTATTTTTCTATGTATAATGGCTAACGCTACGGTGAAATTAATTGGCGTTAAGTTCGAACGGGGATATAGAAACGTTACATCGTATCTCTCAGTGAAAAAATTAACAAGAGTTTTACTCCGCTAGATAACCTTCGACCTCCCTCAAGTTGAAGTGAGTCCTCCGCACTAGTTTCTTGAATAAAGCATGGTTTTTTCTTCTGAAGACAATCTCCGGTAATGACCTGCTTAGCGTGTCAATGGGCAACTCGGTTGGCATTTTAATCTTGTTAATTTATTGCGTGTTCGTGAATGTGTTATTTAATTAATTTTCATGATCAAAAATGTGTCAATGTCACTAAGACAAATAGTAAACTCTCGATTTGCATTATCAGCTCACTTCGCGTGGCCATCTCTATAGATCTCAATCGAATATTGGGTATTTGGACGGATATATTATTTTATTATCTGCACGCTAGATTATTTTTATTTATTTTTATGTGATTACTGTTTTCATTTTTATTTCTTTCAATGTAAATAAATATGTCAAGGCTCTGCTTGAAGTGGTTAAAATCTCACCAACCTACCGACAGGCCCATTAGCTCAGTTGGTTAGAGCGTCGTGCTAATAACGCGAAGGTCGCGGGTTCGATCCCCTCATGGGCCATGTTTTTTTTTTTCTAATTCATTTTATTTCTCCCGATAATATCTAAAATAACTAAACATAAATTTAGAAAAATTTAAATGTTCACGCGAATAACTGAAATAATATTTTTCTCCTGCGTCGCTTATCTGTTCAGAGGAGTGCGAAAGTTCGATAATCTCTTATTAGCGCTCAAAATAGAGATCAAAAGATTACCCAGACATTTTTCAACGATATTTCGTACGTATGCGTTATCATAAAGTATAAAAAATATTGCAATTTTTCATTGGCCGTATGTATACCTACCTTCTCGGGACGTTCTCATCAGTTCCGTAATAGAAGCTCAAAGCGGCCAGCTGTCAGTTCTCCGTGTCCTAAAATCCACGGCACAGCGTGGATACCTGAACTGGTTTTGTCGCCTCGGAGGCGCGTAACGCACAAAGGTTTATCGTAAAAGATACGCGTGTCTTATGTGGAAAGCTGCCACGAAACGTCCGGCAATATAAAGGCAGTAAAAAAGCCTAGCTGGTTCTCACGTGGCCGTCCCAAAGACAGAATACGAGAGAAAGAGAAAGAGAGAGGCACCGGACGAGATAGGGCCATCTATCCGAGGAACGTGAGCGAGACGGCGAACGAATTTCGACGCGATAACCGATGAGTCGTGAACGCTCGGCACGAATTCGTTTCACGGAAGCCGTTCGACCGGCATAAAAGACGACGATAAAGCCGCGCCTAAGTATATCTAATGACATCATTTGGCCGGCAAACGTAATAAACTGGCACAAAGCCACGGGGATTTCGTCGAGAATGTAAAAACGCGGGAACGGCTTAAGGCCAGCGAGAAAGGGTAAGTCCGTATGGGCTCTCGCTCGCGTGTTTTGCGGCCCGTGCGCGCGCGGGAGAGAGAGAGGGGATATGACATGACCGAGCGGAGGTGCGGGAAGGACGAAGGGACGCCTGGAATTTCGTGCGAGAGACCACAGTTCTCTCGCGGACAAAAAGGAAAGGCATAACCCACCTCCAATCCTTTCTGCTGCTACACGTGAACGCTCGCGTCGTTTTAAGAGAAATACGAGAGAGAGAGTCGGTCGGATGGCGTGCGCACGCGCGCTTCAGGGCGCATTGTTTGATCGGCCGGGAGCAAATCCCATCGGCAAACGCGGAATACGGCTGATCCTCTCGAAATCATCGAGCCTTACTTCGTAAATAATGGCCGGAGATGTGTGCGCGAGGTCGCGTAATGCGGTGAATTTTCTTAATCTTTCCGAAAGAACGATAAGAATGAACGACCGCGGGGACGTGGGGGCGCGCGATCGTTCGCCCATGGGACTCTTTCTCTCGCTTAAAGAAGGAGAGGATGATATTTCGTAAATGTCGCGAGCGTTTTGGAGAACGTCCGTAGGATAAGAGACGGGATCTTTGTTTCGGAAACGTGCACGAAAAAAATAGATTGGTTATCCTGAAGAGAGAGAGAGAGAATTCCGCCATGCGGTCGGATCCGCGCCGGCATTTCCATGAAAAAGAGATCGACCGATACACTTTCGCGCATCCATATCTTGGGCTGCAACGGACCGGAGCATATATCACCGGCGCGAACGTCGCGTATCCGCGAGAACGCCCCCTTTTTACCCCCGGTCCCTATAATCACAAGCTCATTAGTCCTCGCCGGCGGATAATTTACGAGCTGGCATTGCTCGCGCGGCCGATCGCCGAGGGACCACATTGTTTCGCTTAAGTAGGCAACGAGCCCGTAAGAGAGCGGCGGAGGATCGCTTTCGCGAACGGCGCCCGGTAATATCCCGGCCGGCCGGGAGGACGAAGGGCGCGAGGGGAGAGGCGACTCCCTCCTCCTCTTCCTCCTCCTCCTCCACTCTCACCCCTCGTATTCCTGCAGTGCAGTCGGGCTTGGAACGACTGTAATCTTGGGCTATCTAACGTTGTAAATGTAGCGAGGTGATGATTTGCGACCTCCCTGCAGCTCCGTGGGGAGGATTGGCGTGTGTAGGGGTACACTCGGACCTTTAGATTCAATTTCGCGGGGCGTCAGCCGCTGACGCGACGTCCGCCCACCTTCCGCGAGACGTTGATGTACGACACGGTAGATCGCGGTAGACTCCTCTCTCTCGCCTGGGCCTCTCCGCAAATTTTCAGACGCCGTGATCGGCCGCGGTGTGAAATAGCAAAGTGTGGTAGAATAGCTTCGGTATGCGGGTTTGGCGAATGGGGGGAGGGGAGATTGGCTGAATTGACGTGACGTGAATGAACAAGCGAACGCGTCTTGGCCGAAGGGAGAATTTTTGGTCCCGAGGATAGAATTTTATTCATAGGAACTAGAAATCTCCCGTTCCCTTCAACGAAAATACGTTCGGCTCGTTTATTGTCGCGTTAATTCAACCCATCTTCTTGCCTCGCGCGCGGTCGTAAAAAGTGACTAATTTCGTAAAGTGCCTTGAAAAATGCTTGCACGGGATACAGATCGTATAAATTGGCTAAAGTTAAAAAAGTATTCTCATTTGAAACGGCGATTTTTAGATGATGTTTGGACATTTTTTTTTTTTTTAACTATAAGATATACAATTCTGAAGTGTTTTGTACAAATATTTATTTATATTTTAATATGTATAGTAATTTCTGTATATTATTCTCAATATTAATAAAATTACAAATAATTGAAAATAAAAGTTTCATGTCTTATAGTTAAAAAACAACCCAAAGTCACCTGCCAAACGAAAGGTTTCAAATAAGAATACCCCCTGAAAGAGTAACATCCGGCAATATTTTTCATTTATATATTTATCGTCTTTCTTTCTTTGCGACAAAGTTAAAATTAATAAGATTCTAATTTTGTAATTTCTTTTACAAGAGACATTTTTTTATTCGTCTGTTTCACGGCAATTTCATTTATAAGAAAGAGAGTGATACGAGAAGTGATACGAATGACGGATGAAATGTACGTCTAGCCGGAATCATGGATCACGACGGCCAACAAGAGCGTGAGAATCGAGCGCGTTCCTTTCGCGTCTACCGTGAAATAAATATCACTCTCCGTCGATGCACCGATGCGCACGATGCGGATGCGTCGATTTTCCTCGGTATGCCGGAGACGCGAAATTGAGGTGCAGCGGCCTTTTCCCGGATCGGTATCATTGAGAGGATATATTCGCAAGGATCCACTCGGGCTAGTCAAACACGTTATGCAAGTTCGAACTATACGGCAAGTAGCGCGTCTGTCATCCAACATGTACATATGCGTCAACGCACGCGCATTAATATATACATATAGATGGAACGTGACATTAAAATCTCCTTTGAGTCGCAAAACGCGTAACTCAACTTACAAGATTTCCATCTTTATATTTTCTATCATTTTACAAGCAAAAGATAGTTAAGATAAAACTCCGATAGGACAATTTAATTTAACAAATATATAAATGCTAATACTAATATTAATACTCCTAACAATATTAAACTACTATATAGTGCGCTAATATTATTAAATATTAATGCTAATAGTTTCAATATACAATATTAGGAACCAGCATATAAATTACATACTTCGATGATATTACATCATATTCCGTATATCGACGCACTAATACCATTATTAATCGTAATAATAATCGTAATAATAATAGTTAATAGTAATATCAAATGCTAACATTAAAAGTTTTAGTACATAATATTAACAACCAGTGTATGAATTGAATTCTTTATTACATCTTATATTAATATATTTGCGCGTAACTCTCGCCAACATGTTCCAGATTTACATTAGAACAAACCCTAATACTTGTGATATCGATACGCTGTTCATTTAATCGCAAGCCAAGTTCTCACCCGTTAAGCAAGCATCCGACGTGCCACGAACTCAACGCACACGAACTCGACTCCCAAGCTCCACGAGCGGGCGAGAGTGCCGATATTCATAGTCGTCGGCGCGAACGAGCTCTCCTCCGCGTCATTTACAAGCGGCAAGTGGTCCATCATAAATTTAGCGCGCTATCGCCGGCTGCGATCGTATTTATCTAACAAATAATTATTCCCGATTATCTCGCGGGTGATGCATGCCTCGGCAAACAGAGATCAAAGATATGGCGCCCGACATCCCGTGGGCCTTTGTTTAACGCTTAACCAGCCGAAAGGTACCGGTCAACAATTTCGTTTTATTTACGACGTGGTGGTGCTGGCGATGTCGATGATGGTGGTGGCGGCGGCGACGGTGGTTTGCGGAGCTGGGCCGTAGGAACTCAGTTTGAAAGCAGGAAGAGAGAAGGAGAAAAAGAGAGAGAGAGAGAGAGAAAGGGAGAGCGTGGGTGCAAGGGTTGAGCGCCTATTACCTTGGGTTGCCTTGGGGGGTAGCCTATCCCCGTGTCTGCCGCAATCAAATTTTAAAGTTATTGCCACATGACTCCACGTGGGCCAGCTCGAAGCAGCGAGCCCGAACTATGAAAGCCTCGAGGAACAAGTTATCTTAGGATACTTTGTGTCACACATTATCCCCGCGTGCGCGTGTTAGTTTCGATGCGGCAATGCGATCAATAAAGCCTCGGAAAATCACACCAAGTGAAACGTAAAATTTCCGCCCAACTATAGTTGTGTTTCGTGATTAGAATGACATTTTCGGACCGCCCGGTGCTC